CCCCCCCCAACCACTATCAAGGAGTGGCAAGGGCAAGACAGCATACCAAGGCAAAGGCAGCGGGTAACATACAACACAAACACAAAGCCAAAACAAATATATGCCCACTTAATATCACAAATGACACACAGTGACAGCAAGACACACATACACACACATACACAAACACAAACACACACATACACACACACACACAAACACACACACACAAAGCCACACAGCGTGGCGGCACTCACTCATCATGTCGGTCTCGTCAATGATCTCGCTCTGCAGGATCTCCTCGATGACGTCCTCCAGAGTGACCACGCCCATCGTCTCGTAATAAGGGTCCTGGTCCTCGGTGTTGTGCAGCTTCTGTACGATCGCCATGTGCGAGTTGCCTGGAACGAAACATCAGGGGATTGGTTAAGTTTAAGTCAGGAGAAGCAGCTCGGTTCCAGAACGGTCATGAAATGTAAGAGGGCAGGGGGGCAGAGAAAGACACAAACAAAGATATAATGACATACCAGTGGAATCTAATCACTTGCAAACATTAAAGACGAGCACCATCAAAATAGGTTTATTTAATGGTATAGGTTTAACGCCTTTATCAACACTGTCAGGTTATTTAAGAAGCGGGACGTCTGAGTTAAACGTCCAACTCAAAAAGGACCGAGCCAAGTGGGAAATTCGTGCAAAGTGTCTTTCCCAAGGACACAACGTCGGGCCGAGCTGGCGCCCGAACCCCCGAACCTGCAATCTCACGATTACGGGTCCGGTAGCCTGACCACCATTCTACCGACGCCACTTCGAAAGAGACAAGAACAAAACGAATAAAGTAGACATGTAGAAGATTTCTAAAAAAATTATCCTTCAACACTGGACCAATAAGGGACGCCGGGGAGGGAGACAACTTCGTACCATGCTTATAGAGGCCACTCAATCCAAGCAGTGGGAATACATGTATGTATAATTAAATGACACAAGCCTCAACCTGAGATTCAAACCTACACTCTTAACGTGTACAGATCCGGTATGGGAATCGGTGCAAAAACAATAGGTTAAAAGGTTAAAAGGGCAGACGTATGTTGTATACATTTTCCCTGTTGACACATAACCGAAGGACTTTCTGGAATCAAGCTTGCACTCTCAAAAACCATCGCCTGTCCGCTAAACACCTAACGCTATCTTTTTGTAAATTATCAAAACCGTGTTCCTCGGAAATTGGTTTAACGAATTCCGTAAGCAAAAAGGGCGCTTGAGACACTGCAAAGAAATTCAGAGCAAGTATATATTTTTTCCTGTCTACATCTTTGGAATTTGCGCGCCGTGTGTGTGTGTGTGTGTGTGTGTGTGTGTGTGTTTGTGTGTGCGCGCGTGTGTATAAGTGAGTGTGTGTGTGTGTGTGTGCGTGCGCGCGCGC